GTGCTCTTTTTCTGAGCGCACTTTCCCCGCGGGCACAGATGGGGGCCCCACCCCCCGTTCTGGTCTGTGTAGTTATAAAAAACCTGAGAAAGAAAATGGGTTATCGGGTACATCCCTGCGAGGGGGGGATATGTTAGAATAAATATAATTTAGTGGGAGATGTTGAGGTAAAATCCCTCTTTGGCCCTCATATATATATATATATATATATATATATATATATATATATATATATATATATATATATATATATATATATATATATATATATATATATATATATATATATATATGTCTACTTCATAATTAAATACCAGAACAAATTCATTACTTTCTTTTGTCTTTGCTTCTAATTTATTAGCAAAGGGGCATTTGCCTGAAATTTGTCATTCTACAATACGAAAGTTGCGAAAGATCTTCTTTCAAGATTTTCGTATCTACCCGTAGAAATCGGAAACCGAATTTTTGAAAATTTGCCGATCCCAGTACAAAATTTTCAAATTTCTTGAATTCTTGAATGGTAAAGATTGATTTTTTTTTTTTTTTTTTTGGAACTATGCTTTCATAATAATGAGAGAGATTTGAGTAATGATTGTATGAAAAATTCCAAAATTTTGCCAGTGTGTACTCCTTATCTAGTGTAAAAGATCCGCATCTTTTTTCCCACAATAGGACAATCTCAGCCTCACTGGTCCTATTCCTCTGAGGGATCAAAAATAACCAACTTGACTATATTTCTTACAAGACAGATTCTTCAACTGCCACTTGTACAGTTACTATTCAATTTTCTTGAATTTAGTTTTTGGGTGGAAAAAAATCAGGGCTACAGTCGTCTCTGTAGATACTACACTCGGTGAAATAAACCATGTTCGTTTTTTCATCTCAACAGAGCCGAAATATATTTACAGAAAGAAAGATCCAATTTTCTAAACAGTAAATTACATATTAGCTGCCTGCCTCGAAGCACAAAGTGGTCAAAGAAAAGATCAAACTACATCAGTCAAGAAACACAAGAAATAATAATAATTAAAAAAAAAAAAAAAAAAGCAATATCAGTAATTTGATATTATGATGTAATTTTTTTTTTTTTTTTTTTTTTTTTTTGCTGATGGGACTACCAGAAAGTTCTAGATCTCTTGGATCCAGTATTCAAAGATGGAGAGATCTGTGGAACAATAAAGGAGCTGTCTTCACTCCAATTTCTGCTGCTATTTTTCAGGTAATTATTATTATTATTATTACCACTATTACTTGTCCCAAATCCCAAATCTGCAGTGAACTGATGATGATCATAGGATGATTTGCTTTGTGTCTGATAATTCAAAGTGGGGGGAGCTTGTGGGACCCACACCCCCATTTTCTCTGCTGGAAAGCCACTCATATTGCTCCCAATTTCATCTTCCCACAGTGGCAGCATCATATCATTCTCTCCATTCTAAAATAAAATTAATTAAAAAAAATAAAAAATAAAAATCAGTACTTTTTAATTTTTATTTAATTTTATTGAAAGGAGAAGAAAAGTAGAGTACCTTATAGAAAGCCTGAGGAGGAGAAGGAGAAGAAGAATCAAGAAAGTCCTCAACGTGCCAGCCTGGCAGCGTGTCCATCAAGTAATCAGATATACACTGGTGGGGGAGGCTGTTACTTCTGTCACATGATGATTCCGGCGCGGCGGCGGCGGCGGCGGCGGCGCCGCTTTGGTGAGGGGTTTTAGTAATGGTGGGAACAGCATCTGCGGAATCTGAATAAAGGACGGAAGTTGCGGAGAGTTTGACACCTGTGAGGAGGAATCTAGTGTGTTTCTGTGTGTGCTCATTTGCGTTGTGGATTGGGAAATCACACTCTCTGCACAGAATCGCTCTGTCTTGCTGGCAAAACAAGAAAGCCCTTCTCTCCTACATTTAAAAAAAAAATTTTAAAATCGAATCTTTATTTATTGATATATATTAAAAATCGAAACTTTATTTATTTTATATATAGATATATAGATATATACCTTGCAGATGTCGCAGAGGGGGGCTTGTTTGGGGGAAGGGTGGTGGAGGGAGAAGCGCTGGTGTTTTCCGGCGAGTTTGTTGGCGTGGTGGACGCGGTGGTCGCAGGCGGAGCAGAGGGCTGCCTCGTCGGCGACGCAGAAAACTGATGCTTCCTCTTTTTCGCACACATCACATTGGATCTTCATTTTTTCAAGAATTAAATAAATAAATATTTATATGTTTGTTTGTTTGATTAGGGTTTGTTGTGATGAAGAAGAAGAAGTTGGGGGAGAAATGTGAAATGTACAGAAATGGAGGCGTTGAAATAAGGGAAGGAAAGGATGAGGAAGAGGCTTTATTGTTGATTTAATTTCAACAAGTTGCCATTATTAGAAATTGTGGGGTCTCAACACACCCTACTGTGTGTGTGTGTAAAGTGTGTGGAATTATTAGAATATGTCATCTTTTTTCTTTCCTTAAATAAATAAAAGAAAAAATAAATATCAGAATGTCAAAAATTGAATCATGGTACTACCATATATAAATAATAATATATATAATGTGAATTACCCTATGGTTGGGAATAAATGGTTTTACAATGTAATATAAGGTTCCAATTACGGCTATAAACGAGTCGAGCTGAGCCGACTCGACAATTGCTCGAGCTCAAACTCGAGTTTTTCAAGTTCAAGATTCAACTTTCTGACGAGTTCGAGTCTATCAGAAAGTCAATAATAGTGACGTCTCTCCGCTCCCTCTTTTTCTACATATGTGGCGGCGGGTTACCAGAGAAGAGGGTAATAGTTGTCCACAAACTCATGAGCCGAGTAGTCAGTTTCTTTTTATTATCACATAAATTATTTATAATAAAAACAAATATTAATATTATGTGAAAGGGAAAAAAATTAAAATGGGCCGAGGTTGAGTTCAAATTCGAGGTCATAAACTAGAAGTTCGAGTTCGGCTCATTTACAACCCTTTACAATTTTTTTTTTTATTATTATGAATTTTAACAACTTAATATATATCATCATATTAAAATTTTGTTAGATATGATCCTCCTCAAATTTTCTATCTCCCTTTCTAAATATTTCGAACTTACAAAGTTTGTGCAATATGCTAAGATCAACAAAATCGAATTTAACTCTATTTTCATTTCAAATTCTCCCCTATTTTGGTGCTTCTCAAATCCATTCACTTGTAATTTCCAACTAGTTCTTCACCCGTGCGTTGCACGGATGTCAGTTTTAAAATGAGAAAAATAATAATATGTAAACGACTATCTCTTTATAACAACAACAATTCAAGTAAATAAAATGGAAGAAAATAAAAAAAAAACCATAAATTTTATCACCTAATTCAGAGTTTTAACATATGAGATTAAATTAAATATTCTAAAGAAGAAAACGTGAAGCGCGCAAACACGATATGAAGACTAAGTGAAATCATTTAAAATATATGGTATAACTCTATTTCGAGGAATGCAGCCTACTACAATATGTCAATCTTTTGCAAAATAACTAACTTAACAACAAACACGGTAGGAGAGAAGTAACACAATAGATATTCAAATAACCTGTAAGTTCATCACTAACGACGTTTAATTAGTGATGCACATTACTCAAACAACAATACAACTTATAAATATTGCAAAAGAGATAAGATGTATACGTCCTTATAAATACCAATGCTGATATCAATACCGATGCCAATATGGATACCAATACTGATACCAATATTGATATTAATATCGATATATACTAATACTTATACTAATTAATATCGATACTAATACTGATACTAATCAATATCGATACACATACTAATACTAATATTGATACCAATACTAATACTAATACTAATACTAATACTAATACTAATACTAATACTAATAATAATACTAATACCGATACCGATACCAATACTGATACCAATACCAATACTAATATTATTATTAATACTAATACTAATACTAATACTAATACTAATACTAATCCTAATACTATTGATAACACTAATACTAATACTAACACTAATACTAACACTAATACTAACACTAATACTAATACTAATATTAATTAATACTAATACTAATACTAATACTAATACTAATACTAATACTAATACTAATACTAATACTAATAGTAATACTAATACTAATACTAATATTAATACTAATGCTAATACTAATACTAATACTAATACTAAAACTAAAACGAATACTAATACTAATACTAATACTAATACTAATACTAATACTAATACTAATATTAATACTAATACTAATACGAATACTAATACTACTACTAATACTAATACTTATACTAATACTAATACTAATACTAATACTAATATTAATACTAATACTAATACTAATACTAATACCAATACCAATACCAATACCAATACCAATACCAATACCAATACCAATACTAATACCAATACTAATACCAATACTAATACTAATACTAATACTAATATTAATACTAATACTGGTACTAATACTAATACTAATACTAATACTAATACTAATACTTACTGATATTGATACAAATACTGATACTAATACTGATACTGATAGTCATACTGATACTTACATTGATACTGATATTGATACTGATACTAATACTGATGTTGATAGTCATATTGATACTCATAGTAATATTAATATTAATACGAATATTATTACTAATACTGATACTCATACTAATACTGATACTAATATTGTTACTCATACTGATATTGATGCTGATAAAAATAGTAATATTGGTACCGATACATATTGTGGTACTGATACTGATACTGATACTTATACTGATACCGATAATAATATTGATACATATACTTATGTTAATACTAATATTTGTACTAATACTAATACTAATACTAATACTAATATTAATACTAATACTAATATTAATACCAGGTGTAATACTATTACTAATACTAATATTAATCCTAATACTATTATTAATACTATTACGAATACTAATATGTTAATATTGTTAATGTTAATGCTAATAGTAATTTTGATGCTAATGCTAATCTAGATATGCTAATTATTATGTTAATGCTAATTATGATTGTAATTCTAATATTATCCAAATCCTTATCGTATTCCTAATTCTATTCATAACACTGATCATAGTTCTAATCCTAATCATAATCATAATCCTATTCCTAACACTAATCA